GGGCCTGAGTGCCATGATTTCATATCTAAGCCTATTATGTTTTCATGAATATATTGTGTTCTTGATCATATCTGCAAGTTGTATGCACATGTTATTATTCTGAACCCCAAACTCCCGAGGTGGCAATGATTGGGATATCGATGGGGATGACCTTAACTTAAGGAGTTCATGTATACACTTTGTGTTAATGCTTTGTTTCGGTTCTCTATTAAAAGGAGCGTCTTAACTACCCTTAGTTTCCATTAGAACCCCACTTCCACGGGAGGGTAGGACAAAAGATGTTATGCAAGTTATTATCGCAAGCACGTATGACTATATACGAAATACATGTTTGCATATGCTTGATGAATTGCAGCTAGTTTGTATCGCTCTATATTATGACAATTACATTGAATCACATCTGAACACCCCATCGCTACTCCATGCCTACTCCTATCTACTATTGTTTGTGTTGAAATCACTACTGTTACTTGGCTACTATTGTACAAACTTGTTACTGTTGTTGTTACTGTTACTGTTATTCTTCTATCACTACTATCGTATTATTGTGCTACTAATAAATTGATGCAAGAAAGTTATCTCTCGGGTGTGGTTGAATTGACAACTCAACTGCTAAAGTTTATACATATTCTTTGGCACCCCTTGTATCGAATCAATAAATTTTTGTGAAATGCTACCCTCGAAGTCTGTCACGATCCTCTATACTTGCGGGGTTAAGATGGACACAACATCATTTGGAAAGCATATTGCTCACAAGGGATACCTCGAACTCAATTGGATAATTGCTCCTTTGGGGGGAAAGAATGTCTTAAACTTCTACCCATTTATAAAGACCTGGTTTCTTGCTCTATTCAAGATCGCCACAACATTCTGTGTTGGGCATATAGATGGAATGATCAAATGGTTGGGAAACATAGTAGAAAGCAAAATAAATTCGCATCTACGATCACCCAAGTTCAATATGAAGATGCATAACGGGTTGGGATCACGATCATTACCGTCACCGAGTTGCAACGGAAGAAGAACGTGTCGGTGTCAATCATACTTGGAGTCCCTCGAACCATCGATGAATTATCCCTTGTACCGCCCACAAACAGTCCCTTGAACTAAAGATCGAAAGCACGGCCTCTCTACTTGGTTGCAATCGTGCAGCCTTCACGATCCGGCAGCACTTCGCCGTCGAGAGCTAATCGCCACTGGAGAATTAGAGGGAGTAGATTAGAACCACACAGGGCTTCTAATTATGAGTATAAGAGGATTAGCCTAGCTCTAATTAGTCAACAAGGACCAACTAGAACTAGAACTAGAAGAACTAGAGGAGGCTCCAAAATTTGTATGTTCAATTATGGCCAATACCTCAAGTATATATAGGTTAGAGGGGGAGGGATAGGCATCCACCAAGGGAAGCCTCCTTGGGGTGCCGGCCAAAGGGGGGAGGAGTTGGACTCCTCCCCTATTAGGATTCGCCCCACTTCCTTAGAGAAGGGATGCGCCTTCCCCACTTGAGCCACAAGGGCCCAAGTTGCCTTCCATCTCTTGGCCTTTTTAGGCCCATTGACATTAAGTTAAGTATAAAATTCTTCTAAATACTTTCAGAGCATTACATATATGTTTTAACATCCCTAGAGACATTTTCCAACCTATATATTATTTCTTAGTAATACTCGGTATTACCTCATACTCCCCGAAACCCTTCCAAGGACCCCGAAACGCTTACGGATCCTCTTGGAACTATTCCAAATATTAATGAAACAATTCCAAAAATATATTCTCACCACTCTCGTCCTACTAATACTTAGCAGATCATGATTTACTTAACCTTGTGACCCCGTAGGTTCGGTAACTCACAGACATGAATGAAACTGTTTGTTCAATGACCGACAACGGAACCGTCGATGTCCATATCGGTCCCTATGAGCACACGAATGATACTCGAGTAAAGCTTTGGTTATCATGTGATGTTCCCTTTGCTTCGCAATACTGTACAAAACACGGGATGCATCGATATCCTCTTGAGTCATAACTATGCTAGCTATACCGATATCCTCGTTACTGGTTTTGTTCACTTTTCTCGTTATCGTGTTCCAGCATCCCCGTGACGAAGTCACCTATGTCTGGCCGGACAATGATGGATATCGTCACACCGAGTGGGGCCTAATAATATATATCCATCGTTGGAGGAGCAAGACCCTCTCTCGAGCTATCTAGTCCCTTGTCAAACTTTCTGATGAATCTGTAAGTTGTCGTTATGATCACCGTGTTCGAGGTGACATTTGAGCAACCCCAAAGCCTACCATGTGGTAAGAAGTGACTACGATACTCTCATGGTCTAAGGAGCAAAATCACAAGCTAACACTCTGTGTTATTACAATTGATTACCGACGATATAATCTCAATTCATAACAAACAAGTTTGAGTTGATTGAATACGATCGTTCTTCCAACGTCATAATCTCAATGTTGTTTCAAGACTATAATTACACTTAACGATATCCTAAGATCCAGAAAACATGATCACCAACAACACTTGAGCTAGTCTTAGAGGCGAGACTAGGAACCTTTATTTTATGCATTTATCATTTCACACGTGCATATGAGTTTTCCATTGAATCACATATTTTACGAGCGGTTATAGCATATAATAAAAACACATAATTATGAATATGAAAATATAATAATACAATAGTATTGCCTCTAGGGCATATTTCCAACAAAAAACCGCCCTCAAGTTGGACTCACCACACTCTTTTGCCAAAAATCCCCACATTTCCATTCACAATTTTTGGCTTTCTCGGGACTTGTCTAAAAATTTTCATTTACCCCTCTCTGAAGAGGCTTTTGCACAGTATCTGAGCTAGCTCACCAAATCCAAGAGGTGTAGTTAGTGGAAGATTCAAATATTTGGCAAATCCCAGCTGGAGCAAAGATTCCAAGTTTCCAAGATTTATTCCCTTCTTATTGGGGAACATGAGGTTATGTTTGCAATTAAATGGATTTGGGATTCTTGTTGCCAATTGAAACACAAGATTTTCCTTTGGCTGCTCCTTCGCAATAGATTGCACACAAGAGCAATGTAGCAGAGCAAGCACTTTTTGATCCTAGATTATAGTTGCGCCATGTGAGCATGTTCTTTTTTTGCTGCCCATTAGCAAAGGTAAGCTGGTCTCATCTTTATCCTAACTGGAGGCCTACTGATGAAGGATTGCATGTTGAAATTGACGGCCTTGCTAAACGTTCCCTTCGCATTTGAAATCGTTATCCTAGCTTCTTGGGCCATCTGGACCACAAGAAATGACAACATCTTCAAAGGGATTTGTTTAGAAAAGGAGGATTACCCTCGACCTCTACATTAGAGTGATGCATGCAGCCCTTTATTAAGAAAAGTGATTGAAAAGTCTGTGATCCAGAACAAGCTCGCTCAGAGCTGAAGAAAAATAAAAAAAGTATAATACGCCACAGCCGGCGAAAATGGAACGAGATGACTAAACACCTATCCTATTACTAGACCGCCATCCAAACCAGTTGTAGATAACCCGAGCTACCATCTTCCATCGGACAGACCCAGTAACCAAAGACTCCCTAGCTTTTACAGGAGTGAGTAACAACCACATACGGATCCAAGCAGTGGCTCTGTAGATAATCTGCAAAAAAATTATACAAGTTTGTCTGTTATACATCCAACATCTTCAAAGGGATGACCCCAAGCCCATACCGTTGTCACAAATGATTCAAGGACGAGCTCCATTGGTTTACATACAGAGCTACGAGGAAACAATACTCAACTTTTGAAGATTGGGTTAATAGATTCGATTAATCCAGATGGATTCTCTCACTTGTATGAGATGCTTATACCATTGTAACCTATGGCTTTGTTATGTTGTTTTATTCTTTTATTCATTGAACTCTCCTCTTTTGTATTACTTTTTTTTAAAGCAGTAGAATCCTTCTGTTCCCTCAAAAAAAAAATCTAGTGTGATTTTGACCAAGTTGTACAAAATATCTCGAGAGTATGAGCTTGCTTGGGCCAACTGCCAGCCTGCTTGCCGCTAAATGACACGCCTAGTTGTCACTGTCTTCCCTTCTCCTCCTCCCGTAGTCTTGAGCTACTTATCCTCTCGTGTTGGAGAACTCCACATAACACCATTCCCTGATCACACCTCCAGTACTCCTCCTCAAGATCGCAGCATGCAATGGCCTCCCTTACCACCATCACCGCTCCACATCTGTCCCCAGCCTTGACACGACGGCGCAACGCCGCCGTGCCTAGGCGAAGACCCTCCTTCCGCTGCCAAAACCGCCCCCCGACCGAGCCGCCGATCGGCGGCGACGGAGGAGGAGGAGGAAAGAAGAGGGCGTGGTGGGTGACCATGGCCGAGAGGGCGCACAGCGGCGTGGTGAAGGCGGGGATGGACGTGCGGGAGAGCCTGAGCCCGAAGCAGAAGGGGGACTGGAAGGACGTGGCGCTCATGAGCCTCTCCTTCGCCGTCTACGTCTACATCTCCCAGAAGATCGTGTGCACATACTGCGCCTGGGTCTCCATGATGAATCACTAGCTCAAATTCCTAGATATATTTAGCGCCAACAAAGCATCTGCTGTTATCATTGTACTTGTAGTTCATCACTCTAGATGATCTAAGAAACTTTTTCTCGTGCAAGACATGATTCTGAGTTGAGAAGTTGCATATCGCCAGATCTTGGAAGAAGCAGGAAACAAAATTGCCAATTAATCTCAGGAAAAAAAGAGGCATTCGCCTTACATACACCTCTGACTGATCGCGCCTATTCCTCGACACTGTACTACGCAAAGTAACTCCGTCCCAGCTGAGCTCAGTGGCTACTCACCACTACAGACCTGACTGACGAGAAGTCAGTCGTGGTGATTACTTATTAGATTAGCAGTAGTAAATTACTTTATTAGAGGCTAAACTAAACTAAAGTGACAGAGTTCATCTCTCCCCACTCCTGCCGGAAACCTTGGTTCCAGAAGAGGATGGTCAGCGCTCACCGCTGCCGCCGCGGCAAGGCGATGTTGCCGATGTCCTGCAGCGGCGAGCGCCTCGGGACCACGCTGGGCGAGTGCTTCACGCGGCAGATGAGCACGTGCTTCTCCTTCTCCTTGCCGCCGTCCTGCTGCTGCTGCTGCTGCTGCTGCGGTGGCCGGTGGTGGTGCTGAGCCCTGGCTGCCCGCGGGTTCTCCATCCTGCAAGCCTCAGACCATGCCCGGCTGGGCAGGTTTGGGGTGGGGAAATGGGATTTGAAGGTGTGCAGCTTGCCTTGGAGCTCCGAGACCTTCTTCTGGAGCTCTTCAGCATGCTGTTCCGACGCCTGCGCGCGTTGTTTCCACTCCAGCATCTGGTGAAATGTTAACAAGGATTTTCTTCAGATAACAACATCACTGGCTATAATATGAGCATCTGAAAATGGGTGTGTTCAACTCATTCTGAAACTTTTATTGAAAAGAAAACTCATTCTGAAACTAGAGATTTTCCCAGAGCCTTGAACATGCAGTCCATTCCAAATAAAACTGGAAAGCAGTGTGTCTGAACTTGCACTTTAGTATATAAAGACTTGTTCGTCATTGGATTCTGACAGGTTTTCACTTTCAGTTTCAAACAAATTCAGCACCAACCGAAATTCAGTGAATTTCAGCTATTTCGGCTTGCGTTTCGGTCAAAAGACCAAAATGTTCACTTGAATTCAATTAAATATTTGATTTAAAAAAAAACTGGATTCATGTGTACTACTGAAATTGCTGAAATATTTTGCCCGAAAGTTAAATATTTCAGCGACTGCTGAAATTTATGAAATTCAGTGAATTTCATCGAAATTTCACTGAAAGTGAAAACCATCTGACACATTCACTATTTTGTTTTCAGAGAGAAGTTACTGTAGAGTAAGAAATCAAGGTTGTAATCTTTAGGCGCAAGAACAGAACTCCTACTCTTTTTTTTTTTTGCGAGAACAGAACTCCTAGTTAAAATGAGTACTCTTTTGTTTCAGCCAATACATCTTGCTCTGAATTCCAAAAGTTGATGCACGTAAGTGCCATTAGTAGCACACCAGTATGTAAAGGACGATGCAGTTACCAGAGCCTCAACAACTAAAATTACTTTTGTAAACCCAAGAAGCGTTTCTAGGTACTGAAGATGCAAAGCATAATTAGAGGCTACTGACCTCAGAATTCAAGGAACCAAGACTGATGTCAGACGCAATGGCACGGCGCTGCCATGTATCCCTGGAAGACTGCAGCTCCTGCATCTCCAGCCTGACCTGCTCCAGCATGTCCTGCATCTCAGTCCATTGCTCCGATTCCGCTCTCACTTGCTTCATTATCTTCCCCACAATCTCCTTGCAGTCGCAGCAGCTTCCAGAGCGCACCAACTTGCAGTCTTCAGCCACAATCTGCATGGAGAAAAGATTTTAGCAGGACATAATTTAACTCGACTCGAGTTTTCTTCTGTGCACGTACTCAAAGCATGCATCTTTGGGCCATAAAAAGGAAGAATGTACAGAGTGAGAGAGCGCAATAAAAGTTTCCCCGGTATATGTCAACCAAATCCAGCAGCCCTGCTGTGCCCACCCAAGCTGAAAGCCTATAATGGTGGATATCTCTGCCATAATTACAAGCTGTATGATCCGTGAATGCAATGCCCCTTCAAACAAGAGTTACCTTCTCTCTTTTTTTTGACATGAACAAGCAAGGGTTGCCAATTCAAACTAACTTGAGTCAACAAATAAGTTTGACAGTGCAATGAAAATGCACACTTGAGCAGATCAGATGGTCCAGTCCAGTGGCACAATAGTTATTGCGGTAGTAGTTGTACAGTAACACACAATGAGCACCTCAATACTATTCACTGGCCTTTGGGCCTGGCCCATACCTTTTGCATAAGACAGGAAAGGCTAGCTTTCTTCTTGTTGTTGTGGGCACCCCAGTCCTATTCACTGGTCATACATGGCCCAGATACATCATAAACCATGCTACCACCATGTGCTCTCTCTTGCAAAAAAGTGCAGTTCCTTTAAAGTTTCAAATTTGCACTTGCATTGCATTTAAACATGCCCATTGGGCGTGGGTGAACCATTCAGAACAATCAGCCATGGCAATGTCACATTTCAGCACCAAAGTGGCTTGCACTTCTTTTCAGTTGAACTTTTTTTTTTTGAATAGACAAACAAGTAAATGCTCAGAACTACTACTACTACCACTAGATCATTTTCCTCTAGAACAGAACCAACCATTTTATTTATATAAAAATACGCACTTCACAGAACTATAACATTTTTTTCTTTTAGAACACAGCCTACAATAATGATTTAAAATTGACAGAGGAGTATCTCAGTGGCACAGGTCTCGCACGAGCAATAGTACAAGAAAGGCAGCAGAATATTTCCAAATTCCAAGACCCAGGACAATCTCCAAAAGTAAGGGGAAAGGGAGAACCCTTGGCCCAGGACCACCAACGGCAACGGCACTGACTGACAGTGTGGGCCAACTAACAATCATTGACGGGTTCAAATCATATCATGGGAGATCATATGGCAAAGCTATTTTTTGAATCGCCTACGGCTACGAGTAGCAGTATCGAGCTATTGTGGAAGAAACGAAGATTGGCCCATCATCCCATCCGCCCCATCAACTCCAACAGTGGTTAACAGAAGCATGCACTGCCGTCGTATCAATCCATGGATTTGATGATAGGTTTTGCTTTTGCGCACAAGTGCCATTAACCTCTCGTGTTGCTGTTGGGTAGCTGCCCATCGACCGCGCCAATCTATGGATGGATGGATGGATGATCTGTGGTGGACCCGGTTGATCAGATCAATTACTCATCTCCCTAGGAAACCAGTGCAAAACCCTGTACATGCCATCCCCACAAGGCCACAACACAGAGGCAACAGGCTTGCATTTGCATGCATCCATGATCAATTACTCATCTTGGGCTAGCTGCAGGCCATTTCAAAACTCCCCGATGAGACAAAAGGGACCCAATCTGATCGTGGATTCATAATGCCGTCAAGTCGCTGACCAGTAGTTGTATTGTACCCACCCGAGTCAACGACATTCGGGTGCCCAACACTAATCAAGCAACACTCCGTGGTAGTACTGGTAATAACTACGCCAGCAAGTTAAGCGCGGACACTAATCTTGATTTCGGTACGAAGCAATGGGATAATAAGATAAGCAAAGTGGGCTAGTGGAGCACTGAGCGTAGTGGCTAAAACAGTATTATGAGCAGTAAGCAAGGAGAAAATTTGAATCCTACCTTCTGCGGGTGTTGATGCTTCTCGGAGGCCACGCTGGCGCCGTGCCAGGCGTTCTGCCGGAACGCCGCCGCATTGCTGCCGTTGCTCGCGTTGCTGCTGCCGCTCCAGCTCCTCTGGCTGCACGCGCTCGCCTTACGGCTGTGCCGGCTGCCGCATTTCCTGGACTGGCAGCCGGAGTTGTCGCCGCCGCCCGCGACGGCTTCCAGCCGCCGGCTGTACTCCGCCATCCTGTCGCGCATGCCCTTCGACATCCCCTCCATCTTCACCCGAAGCATCTCCACCTGCAACGCGTACGTACATCGTTCCCGCAAATGCTGCACCTTTAGTAATGGATCATCAAACATCACAAGTTCACCACGGTTATTAAGATCGGCGGCACTGTGTACGTGTTATCTGCACTGGACGCGTTACGTACATCTGACAGATTGGCGCTGGGGACGTGGTCATCGCCGTCGTCGTCCTCGGCAGGCGGAGGCGGCGGTGGGGAGAGCGGGCGCGCGATCTCGCGGATGTCCTTGATAGTGGGCTCGGCGTCGGCTGGTGGCATCCTCTCGAGGCGCCGGCGGAGCGAGGATGCTTGCCGATCGAAGTTCCGGCCGTGGCTCCGCCGCAGCTCCCGCATGCCGCTCATCGCCCTCCTCCCGCTCTCCTTCTCCACCCGGAGTTCCTGCATCATCTCCTCCAGGTCCTCGATCCCTTCCTCCAACGCCGCCGCCACGCCGACCTCGCCACTTGCGTCTATCTTCTTCCTCCCCTGTTGCATCATCCATAACCAAAAGTAGTACGATCAACCACCAGTCCACCATCATCAATCACTCTGTCGCAACGAATCAGGCAATAAGTTCGATCGAGATGACCAAAAAGGTGGGTGTTTTGACGCGCCGTACCGAGGCGAGCGTCTCGACGGCGGTCTTGAGGGCGGCCTCCATCTGGCCGCGGTGGCAGTCGAGCTTGCGGAGGGCGACCTCGCGCTCCATCCGGAGGAAGTTGCACTCGGCGCGGAGGATCTCCGCCTGGAACCGCCACTTCCCCTCCTGCTCCGCGGCGTCCTCCCGCGGCCGCGCGGCGGGCCCGTGGGAGCAGGGCGGCGACGCCGGCGCCGACTCCAGCCCGCGCACGCGGCGCTCCATCTCGAACAGCGCGCCGAGGTTGACCACCTTGGGCGCCGGGCGGGGCTGCTGCGGCCGGGCCGCGCTCCGGCTCGGCCTCCCGCCCGCCGCCGACGACCTCCTCGCCAGGTTAAGGATCCGCGGCGTGACCGTCGTGGCCGTCGCCGTCGCGTGCTGGGCCCTGGCCGGCCGCCGCGCGGACATCGAGGACGCTCGCTTGGTTTGAACCGAACGCGGAGAGCAGAGCGCGGGTGGCGAGGGGTGCGTGCGGACGTGGACGGATGGGCGTGGCGTGGCGTGGGTTCTGTTTGCCTCGATGGGGGGCGGGGCTTATGTGGCAACGGTCGGGTGCTTTTGGTGGTGCGGGGAAGGCGTTGGTCGGAGGAGGAAAAAAAGGCAGGGCAGGGCAGGGCAGGGGAATGGAGGCGGTGTGTCTCGTTTTCCGTGAAAAGCCACAATTTGAAAGGATCTTTGCGCGGAAATGACCGCCGTGCCCCCGGCCCCACCAGAACCAGCCGGGACTCCGACGCAGCGGCGATTGTGCAATGACTGGACTGCTTGGTTGATGGTGCGAGGGGACGGACGGGATCGAGCGGACAGCCGGCACTGCTGGGTGCTACAGTATAGTTTTGGGTGACTGACTGTTGGGAGGCCTGGGCCGGACGGACATTTGGCAGCTTGGGTTTCTGCGCAGCAGCAGCAGCGGCCACTCGTGCAGCGCAAAGCTGCGGCAGCATCTTTCTTTCAAACGAGTCTGTCTAATCGTAGTATAGAATGCGCTTGCGTGTGCTTGCCAAGAGCAGAGAGCAAATGAAACATGAGGCTATTGGTACTTGAGGAAATTCCGTTGCACGCATGCTTTTCTTTTTTATTTTGTGGGACATTCCTCCATCAGCTTGTTGAAGTATCATCACATTTTGTTTATTTTTGACGTGGAAAACCACCATGCATTCCGTTAGCTAGTGGGCTCAACCAAATCGACGGCCACAACACCCATTACATCAGTGGGCAAGCTAGTGAGCCAAACACGGTAGCTTCCTGGTTCTAGCCTCACACTGCGACCAGCAAGCAAGTGCGCCAGCACATAACACTCACGGGGATGAAAAACAACCTTGTACTCAATAAAACTCATACGAAGCAGGAACTTTGTCTCACGGAATAGGGTCCTCAATCTTGCATGATCCATAGAAGTTGAGCCGATAGCTTGACTTAGGGCCAGGCAGTCTGTACTGAAGATAACTCGTCCCATTCCAAAATCCTCCGCCAAATGTAATGCTTTCAACAGGGTCATTGTTTCCACTTGCGGAGGTTCAGAAATTTGGTCAGCTTGCCTACCGCAGCAAACAAGACTTCACCGGACGCGTCCCGAGCAATACATCCCCACCCTCCCATTGTACTGTCACTAATAAAAGTTGCATTCGTATTGATCATCACCCAATCAGTGGGAGGGACTTTTTAACTTGGTTTTGTTCTCGCAGAGGGCTTATGCTCGGAAACATTTGTATGCTACCATTCAGTAATCATCTCAGAAACTTGGCTTACGAGGGAGTTGGGCATAAGTCGACCCGCTCGTGTCGCCCCGCTCGGGCGACCCGAGGGGCGAAACCCTACCCCCGCCGCCTCCCTCCCCTGCTCGCCCTCCCCTCGCCGCTGCCGGAGACTGCTGACGCCGAGCAAGCTTGGCGCGCCGTCGATGAAGGTGGCGATGGGGCCCTCGCCGCCTCGCCTCGTCCGTGGGGGGCCTCTGGATCTGGGGCGGCGGCCCCGGCTGGTGAGGCGTCGCCGTCTTCGGCATCCGGTGGCGTGGGCGCAGGTCGGCGGTTCTCGGCCGTGTGGACGGCAAGATCCCCGAAGAATGCGGGCCAGCGCGCGGCGGCAGCGTTTGCTCCGGCTGTGTTAGATCTGGCTGCCCCCACTGCCCTTCTTCTCCAGCAAGCTCCTCCCCTCCCCAGATCCGGCCTGCCTCGTCGAGGGGCCTCGGTCTGCTCGGGTGGGAGTGGGTGTCTGGATGCAGGACCGGGGGAAACCCCAGCCGCCATCCCGGCGGCGACAGCGGCGACGCCCGCGGGCGCCGCGCACCTTCCTGGAGGCGTCGTTCAGGTCTTGCTCCCCATCGCCCTCCCCTTTGTCTCCCGGGAGAAATCCTCAATTTTGTTGGGCAGCGGCGACGCCCTGGGCGCCGTAACCTTCTTGAAGACGTTGTTTTGGGAACAAAGACGGGTTGTGGGCTTCGTTGTGGTGTAGGTGGAGTGTGTCGGCGGCGGCAGCGTGCGTCCATTGGTGGCGGTGTATTCCTTGGTGCTAGGTCAAGTTGTTATGGTGCTCTTCGCCGGGCTGCAGTTTATTCCTCCGGTGCCCTTGGATCTTCCAGGACGGGAAGGGATGTGGTTCCCCCTCCTACGGTGGTTGTACTTCAGCTCGTCGAGCGAGCCGAAGCTCCCAATTTGGTCTTGGCCCTCGCTGTTGCCCATTTGTGCATTCTGACCGCTCGCCCTCTTCCAAGTCAGAACTTTGGCATATGGTGTTGCTCTGCTCTAGGTGAGCCGTCGTCGGCATGTCGGGAACACCTGGTTCCGCCCAAGTGGTTTCTTCGAGGCCATCCATCTAGGCTCTAGGGTGAGCATGTCCATCGCTCAACGATGCGGCGCCTTCGAGCCAGGCGAGGAGGCAGGGGCCTTCTTTGACAATGGATCTGGATGGATGTGTCTTTCTTCAAGCCCAGGTCTTGACAACGGCGGGCCTTGCATCGTCGTCGGTGCTCTCTCCTGACCAGGATTTTGCTTTCGCCTTGGTTTTCGGCGTGCTAGAGGATAGTGGCATCTCTAAGCTATATGCTTTACGCCAATCTTTCTTACTAGCTTGTAGTATGTGCATTGTGAGTTGTTCCTTGGCGCCCTTGTATCTTTGTTGTTTGTTTTCTTTGCTTTAGTTGGTGAGTGGTGATATTTGGAGTTGTAATCCTGGCCAGTTGATGGCTTTGTTAATTCAAAATCGGGCTCTTCTTGAGCCTTCGTTCTAAAAAAGTAAGTCGACAGTCGCCGTGTCTGATTCTATTCCTTTCTGACACCAGCGCCACAACAGATAAATAATCATCAATTTTGTCTTTTTCGGCATAGACATGACCTTTCTAGGACTTCCAACATTTGCCTTATACAGTCAAAATTCCTTCGGTATACTACATAAACTACTCTTTTAACCATCACCACCACTCCTGCCCCCGTGCAAAAAAAAAACAACAACCTCTGTCCAAGATGTTATTTTTAGCCTAACAAAGTGTCTTATAATTCGGCCGGGGCAATTACGCCTGGACGCGTGACAATGAGCACGGGAATTCCTCCACTAATGTTGCCTCCGGGTCTGGCAACACCAGCATCAACCGCTGCCGAGTCGGACCAGCACGCGGCTGCTACGGGCGGCGACAAAGCTCATCATCCACCTAAGAAGTAGCTCCCTCCTCCTAAAGGGCAAGTTGCATCTGCCCAGGGTAGCAATTCTAAGAGGAATCATGAAGTTCGTCAGACTTGTAAGACTCCTGGTCACCATATTGTTCAACGCCCTCAAGCTTCGTGTGAAAGATGTAATAAGAATGGGCACTTATCGATCATTTGCACTACCTTCCTTCCATGGGAGTGCATTCCTACCACGTGTGATTTTCTGTCTAGAGGGAAGTGATTCTATTATATTCATGTTTAAGTTTTGCCAAAACAGATTGAGGATAGATCTAGGGGTATGGTGATTTTAGTGGTTGAGGGAGAGGCGACTACTCATGAGATTAGTGCTTATATGGGGGCTGGCTCGCATTAGACTACACGTTTCTGTTGGGGATCGTTGCAGAAAATAAAAAAATTCTACGCATCACCAAGATCAATCTATGAAGTAACTAGCAACGAGAGAGAGGAGAGTGCATCTTCATACCCTTGAAGACCGCGAGACGGAAGCATTATAAGAACGCAGATGAGGGAGTCGTACTCGAAGCGATTCAGATCATGGTGGATTCCGATCTTAGCGCCGAACAACGGCACCTCCGTGTTCAACACACGTGCAGCCCAGTGACGTCTCCTGCGCCTTGATCCAGCAAGGAGGAGGGAGAGGTTGAGGAAGAGGGGCTCCAACAGCAGCATGACGGCGTGGTGGTGATGGAGTGGCAGTACTCCGGCAGGGCTTCGCCAAGCTCTTGCGGAGAAGGAGAGGTGTTGGGGAGGGGAGGGGCTGCGCCTTAGGTGTGGTTCTGCAGCCCTCCCCTCGCCCCTCTATTTATAGGAGAAGGGGGAAGGGGGACGGCCCCCTCTATATGAGGGGGGGCGGCGGCCAAGGGGAGGGGGCTTGCCCCCCAAGCAAGGGGGCGCCCCCTTTAGGGTCCCCCCCCCAACCCTAGGCGCATGGGCCCAAGGGGGGTTTGCCCCCAGCCCTCCAAGGGCTGGTTCCTTTCCCTCTACGGTCCATGAGGCCCTCCGAGAGAGGTGGCCCCTCCTGGTGGACCCCCAGAACCCCTCCGGTGGCCCCGGTACAATACCGATATGCCCCCGAACTTTTCCGGTGACCGTATGACAACTTTCCATATATAAATCTTACCTCCGGACCATTCCGGAACTCCTCGTGACATCCGAGATCTCATCCGGGACTCCGAAAAACATTCGGTAATCACATACAAGTCTTCCTAATAACCCTAGTGTCATCAAACCTTAAGTGTGTAGACCCTACGGGTTCGGGAATCAAGCAGACATGACCGAGATAGCTCTCCGGCCAATAACCAACAACGGGATGTGGATACCCATGTTGGCTCCCACATGTTCCACGATGATCTCATCGGATGAACCACGTTGTCGAGGATTCAAGTAATCCCATATGCAATTCCCTTTGTCAATCGGTACGTTACTTACCCGAGATTCGATCGTCGGTATCCCAATACCTTGTTCAATCTTGTTACTGGCAAGTCACTTTACTCGTTACATAATGCATGATCTCGTGACTAACCACTTAGTCACATTGAGCTCATTATGATGATGCATTACCGAGTGGGCCCAGAGATACCTCTCCATCATACGGAGTGACAAATTCCAGTCTCGATTCGTGTCAACCCAACAGATACTTTTGGAGATACCTGTGCTATAGTCACCCAGTTACGTTGTGACGTTTGGAGCACCCAAAGAACTCCTACGGTATCCGGGAGTTACACAATCTCATGGTTTAAGGAACTAATACTT